GAACTTGCATTTATATTATAAGTCCCAACATGGGACCAGACTATTTAATTGCATTTAGAGAGAAGTTGCACTTAGAGGGTTGCACTTAGAGGGAGTTGACTATACTCAAATCTAATTTTTGTAGTATACTCTACTACTCTATTACTTACTTTACTACTATTTATAATATTGTAAATTAAATAGATATGTAATATATATATATATATAATATAATCTGTAATCAAATATTTGAGATCAAATAAAAACATGACTATAACGCACTATCTAGTATCATCACCAAAATTAGATATACAATATGTATCGCTTTTTGAATTTCATTAATTTTAATTTTGGCAAATAAATTTAAGCTCTGGATTTATTTATATATCTGATTTTGGTGGTAATACTAGGTGGATTATAAAATAAACTGAATATACTTAATATCTGATTTTATCCTGATATTGTGCTGATTTGTATCATAAATTGGCATAAATTGGTAAGATTTTATATTAATTGGGTATCAATAAGGTATTAATCAGTTTCAAATCAGATATCCCGATTGTTATCTAATTTGCCATATTCCAACTAGTGTTGGTTGAGTTTAAAATTAAATTTTTTAATAAGATTAAAATTAAATTTTAAATTTTACAAGATTATAACTAATTATAACTCAAATTTATATTTTAGCTTAGAAATAGGAAGGTTAAATATAATAAATTTTTTTGTAATTACAAATTTACAAAAAAAAAAATTTTTAGCAGGCAAATTTGGCTACTAAATAGTTTAAGGAATAATATTTTTTTACTATTTTTAGTAAATATTCAAAATGCTAAAAAGAATTGCCAAAAAACATAAAGAAAATAGTTTAAAATATTAAAAAAAAATTATTAAAAACTAGTTTAAAAAATATTAAAAAAACTACTAATAAGTAGCTTACAAAATTAAAATACTACTAAAGATTAATTTAGCAATTAGAAAAAATATTTAAAATATTAAACTATTAGTAAATAGCAATAAAATATTAATTTAAAATATATTATATAGTTAAATTTTTCTAAGTACATGTTTTCTAATACAGATTATATTAAATTCTCTTTAAAATGCAAGTTTTTTCTAATCCCAAGCTATATAAAGTTATAATAAACTTATATTCTCTAAATATAGATTTTCTTTAGTACAATTTTACAACTTAGCTAATACAGTATGTTGTACTATGATAAGATTTTAAAATACAGTCAAACCTCATTATAGTCACTCTTGATATAGCCACTACCTTGATATACTATAATTACACTATTTTTTTTAATTTAAATTCGTATAATTACAACTTTTTATAATTATCAGATTTTTGTTTTCCAAACTGGTATATATATATACTGTATAAAAGAAGTGTCATTTATCATCTGATTTTTTTTAGCAGAAAAGTAGGTGCCAAAATATCAAGCTAATAGATTACATGTATATTTTATATATAATCATAATCATTTGATGGAGGGGGAAAATTTTACTATTTACAAAAAATCAGATGATAAATGACACTTCTTAACTATACAAAATTTTAAAATATCTTACGTAAATACTAGAATCCGATAATTCTAGAAATAAAATTCTAAAAGATTATCACAAAAGACTATTAAATTTATATTACACATGTTTGGTAAACGCAAGATTATAAACTTTGATGGTTACACTCATTAGTGTCAAGTGCCAATTTTGGGTACCAATTTATTTACAACCATAGATTTTATTATATAGATGCTTGTTCTAGTACAGTAAATACTTATTTTCGAGATTTACCCCTACGACGATATAAATAATTATATGGTAACTGCACTAGTCAATAAAAATTTAAAATAAAAGTATGAATTTTTGTAAACTTTATTAAAACTACTGACTTTAACTTTGTCATAATATTCTTTTTGTAATCTTCTTGCTTAAAAAATATAACTAGTTATTCAAAATTCTTAATTTCGTGGGAATATTGTTCGAAAAGTAAAATCTAATTACAGATGCCATTAAATTATCAGGATCATGAATTTTTGGGATTCGTCTGTCGGCACTCATCGTCCCTATTGAACATTACGTACGTACGTATGTACGCGCGTAAGTCTGAATCCATTTTCACGTGATCACGGAGTCGTTTATTATATAACAACATCTAGGCCGTTGACATTTGTAAAAAATCAGTTTACCATAAATCATGGATGTTACAAAAGAAATTCATCTTATGTTGCTAGTAGGTGTTTTTATTTACTTATTATAAACATGGGTACACTACAAAACCCACTTAAGCTAAACCAAAACAATTAGTTTTTAAACAAAAAATTTTTTATACTACATATTTTGTTTTTTCTACCAACATTTGATAAATACCTCTACCGAATATTCGATTTTTTACCCAGGTAATTTTTTTTTCTTTTTTTTTTTTTTTTATATAAAGACTAAAAATGATTATTTTTTTTACAAAACGAAATATTTACAATCCATTTGTTGAATCTCTAGTTGGAGAGGCTTGACTAGGGATGTTAGGTTGTCGCATATTACTAATTGATACATTTGATGATAGCTGAACAGGACTTGCATTCATAAATCCATTAGTAGGTACTACAATATTCTGACGCAAACCTTGGCTTGACGCTCCGTTCGAATGGACTTGTCGAATACCATTTTGCGTCATTGGCCGAAGATTAAGGTTCGCCTGCATTTGACGGACGTTTAAATTTGAAACGCCGTTGGCTGAAATTACATTATTGCCGACGAAAGCTGTCCCATTAGAAAGAACTATAGGACGTTGGTTAATTTGTGCCATATTACTAGCCACAGAAACTGCACCATTAGACATAAGAAAGCTTTGTCGCATACTGTTTACATTATTTTGCCCATTTGGTGACATTATATTGGTTTGTCTAATGTTTGGATTTGTTGCACTATTAACCTGCTGAACGGAGGGGTCGGATAAAATTCCAAAGGCTTGTTGTAAACTATCCCGGTCAACATATCTTGCTGATAAAGGGAATCTATTACCGACAACAGCACTACTGACTACAGCACTTTGATATCCATTCGCGACAATTGGAACATTCATAGTATGTCTAAGTATCTGACCGGTACTACCATTTGTCTGTACATTACCCTGTCTGAGATTCGATGATCCATTAGTTTGTACTATATTATTTGTTCCGTTATTTTGAATTTGTTGAGATGATGAATTTGACTGGCCGTTCGAACCGACACTAGGTACGATTATGGTTTGAATTGGGGTTTGATTAGCAGAAGCCGTTGATGGTGTTACCGCATTACTGGCTCTGACGAGTGTTCCAAGCGTTCCAAGTGTTCCGCGAGACATGGCAATTGATTGTCGCATCGTTGAATTATTAGTTTGTGTCTGATTGTTTGTAGAAACGTTAGGACTAATTTGTATTTGACTTTGTGTTTGATTCTGCGTCTGATCTTGTGACTGAGTTTGCGTCAGTTCTGGCTGTTGTGTACGCAAAGCATATATTGTACGTTGCAACATTTGTATATTATTGTTTTGATCAGATGAATGGACAAATTGTTCATTAGAAAGTCCTCTGGAATTGTTTATATTCAAATGTGGGCGTGTAGACTGTACATTAAGGTGAGTTGCTTGTTGTGATGGTGCACCAGGACTACCATTAGTGAAAGTAGGTTGTCCACCGTTTGCAATAGCTATCCTATGTCCGGAATTAACCAAAGCAGCACCATTACTGATTTTATCTATTAATGAAACAGAATTATTTATAATCATTCCTGAATTAGAAGATGTTCGTGATAGGGGAGAGGTAATGTTCATCATAATCCCTTCTTGTGTAGAAGGTGTTCGTTGAAGTCTTCTAGGATCAATCACCGGAGTTGCAGTATTTATAATAATTCCAGAGTTTGAATGAGTTCGAGTGAGTCTAGGTGACGTACCGTTCATTATGATTCCCGGGTTTGAAGGTGTTCTAGAAAGTCCAGGTGTTACACTGTTCACCATCATTCCGGGGTTTGATGGCGTTCGAGTAAGCACCGGCGTCGTATTGTTCATGATTATTCCAGGGTTTGAAGAAGTTCGAGTAAGTTCAACACCGTTTATTGTTGATGTAGCATTAGCTTGCGAGTTTCCTGATAATTGTCTTGTGGTAATTTGTGGTGTTATCTGAGAAAGTGGTATTACAGAACTATGACCGTTAATATGAACATTGGTGGGGACAATTCCAGTCGCACTTCCTTGTAAAGGTGATGTCATTCTTGGGGTTTGAACAAGACTGATGCCTGCTATCCCATTGGTGTTTGTGGAATCCTCCGACATACGAACGTTGCGTTGAATTGGACGTCGATAAGGTGTTGCATCTCGATGGTTCAGTGATATCGATGTCCTTACAGCATGACCGTTATGAGATAGATTGACGCGGGGGTCGAGATTAGGACGTGATTCGGTAAGTAATCGTTGGTCACTAGATTGATTCTGTTCGACAGGTAAACGTTGGTCTCGTCCGGTAAGTGAAACAGTATTCAAAATTTGATCCCGGCTTACATTAACATCCGAAGAAAGATGTTGTTCACGATTTGTGATTGAAATGGAGATAGCTGGGTTCGCACGTTGCGAAATTTGTGCTGAACTTTGATTTGCATCCCTGGAAAAATTAAGGTCGGAGAAACGTGGGTCTACACAAGTACGTAGATTATTGGCTATGGTTAATTTTTATAAAGGCATTAGTTACATTCGAAAATGTTTACTGTTGTTTCGCCAGGAAATTTTTTAGGGTGATTATTATCGATGCATAACCCTATCAATAAACGATTTTTATTAATCATTAATTATCGATGCTTAACTCATCGATAGCCATTGATGTATATGAGTTATAATGATCGATAATTAACCAATTTTATGGCTATTGATATTTAGAAGTGATAATTATCAACTTTAAAGATAAGGTGATGGTTATCGATTTTTAACACCCTAAAAAATTTACCAATGGTATGCGTACACAATGATATTAACCTGTTCTTGAAGTGATATTAGAATCATAATTAGGTCGGACTGATCGCTGATCTACGACAGTCCTAGGTAATATATTCGGACGTGATGAGTCCATATCAATTGTGATTCGTGTATCAGGGTTTCCTCTTGAAGACGAGCCTTCAGCTCGCGGTTCAGAGTTTGATCGAACTTCTGAATTCGACCTAGACTGTGAAGCTGAAATGGATACTCGAGGATCTATGTTCGCCTGAGCGCTATTCTGTGAATGGTTTTGAGTTGAAATACCGACTTGACCATCATCACGTGAGCATTGCCTCGGAGAACTCTGTTTATCTTTCTGAACCTTATTATTACGGAACGCACCGAGACTTTGGAAATCTTCGTCTTTTAAAAAATGAAATTTAATTGACCTAATAAACCAAATGTAAAATAAATAAAAATAACATTGATTTATATGAATCGTTATTCATAAAGACATCTGATATATGATATATATAAGTAGATTTACCATTCAGTCATGTTTGAATTATCATCGATTTCGTCAGAATCCATGTCATCATCACTATAAACATCTTCCATCTCGTCCGAATCGTATTTAAAATTATTATTCTTTGGCCTTTTCATACGGTAAATTGTAAACACATCAAGACGGTCAATAGTACGACGTTTACGACCTCCACGCCCATAACGACTTCTAAATGCAGGAGGTAACACTGATAGTTTATCAGCATCGAATTTCCTGTAGAAAGTCGCTCCCCGTGGTTTCTCCATGGGACAATATGGATTCTAATTAATAATTAACAATTTAATATATCAATCAAAAATAACCAAACACGAAACTAATCTAAATATTTACATAAAAGCATTGATACTTGCATGTGTCACATCTATGTGAATACCACTACTTTCTTTATCTTTTTTTGAGGATTTAGTTCCAGACTTTGTTCTTAAGGAGCTAATGTAATATCAAATTATAATTTAATGAATTTAGTGAATTTGCAAAATAAATAAACCAACAACAAATATATAATAACGTACCCAATAGCATCCATATGTGAGATTGATATTTTTCTGTTCTTGTTCTATTGGACAAGTCGTAAAATTCATATAAAATTATATAAAAATATATCCTTAACGGTAGAGAAAAAATAAATACCCTTTGCTGTGAATCCGAAACATTGTTTTGGATTCCTAGTTCTTTACGCATCTCTTTTATATCACATTCTTTTATAAATATTTTTCGATTTAATTCAATCCTCTGCTTCTTGAACCTTTCACGAGATTTTACTTTAACTATTATTTCTCGACCATTATGTACATCGCGCCTTATCCTTCTTAATTTATCGAAAGACTGTGTCTCGGTACGACGAGTCCTCCTCATTGGTTTAAGTTCTCGACGACGGAAGCATACGTATGGATTATCTTCTTCATCTTTTGTATCTGCAGTCTGTAATGGAAATAAGAAAAAAACATTACATAAAAACATTGAATAGTTTAATATTATTACTTTTAATAACTGTAAATAACTATAAATTTTAATAACCTTAAGTTCAAACATTAATGGAGCTACCGTCTTGTAGCGTATCATTCGTTGTTGTCGTTTAGTTTTCCAATGTGTATACACCTGATGAGCATTAATTCTTAGTTTCTCAGCTTTTTCATCTTTATCAACTTTATCAACTTTATCAGCTTTATCAGCTTTATTATCAAATTTTTCTGGGAGCCATGGCTCGCAATCATCCCATGTTGGGAGTGTTCTTTTTGCCTAAATGCAAATCAGGAATAAGGAAAGAGTATTATGCTAAATGAATATGAAAATCCGAACTTTAATCAAAATGAAACTAATTAAAGTCAGCTTACCAACAAATGTGGTTTATTTTTTGCTTGATTTTCAAAAAACTCCATTATCTCTTCAAAATCATCCTCTGATAGATTATTATTACCATCTTTATTATATTTAGATAACCATCCTTCATCATCTTCATCCATGTTGTATAAACAACCGACACATTCCAATATTGGTGTAGAAAATTTGAGGAATGTATGTGACATTTTCCAGTTAGGTGGAAATAAATGTCTTTTATTGGCATCAGAATCAGGACAAGGAATCGCTGGTTCACCCTCGCCAATTGATGTGCCATATCCTTCTTCGATCCCTTGTTGACGTTTTTCTAATGCAGTAACAAGATGTATTTCCTATAAATAATAACATAAAAAAGATCTGATTAAAATATAATAATGTAAATTATACGTTAAACATTATATGTATGACATAAAACTTTATAATCATGTGACAAAGCATTATATTATGACATAATCGCCACAGCGCAGCCGCAGTAAGCGAAATTGCAAATTGTAAAGGAATAACGAAGGTTTTTATTTAATCTTTAACAGAAAAAACCACTTCAAATCTACAAGTTTTACATACTATATATAAATGGTGACAGTAGTAAAAGAAAACGAACCTCTTCTTCCTCCTTTTCTACTCCCGTTTCCACATCGACCCCTGCTCTACTGACAGGTAGCATGTCTTCTTCACTGATTTCATGTTGAAGCATTATACGCATAGGCTTCTTATTGTCTACCTTTCGTTGGCGAAAGGATTTTCGGTTCAGATTCATATTTGGGTTAAATTTAAATGATGACATCTTGACTTGTGGCGCAGTCAGATGGGGGAGGTTTCGTTACAAATAACTTTGAAAGACAAACTACTTATTGACAAAGGCGTCGTTTATACAAAGTGGAAGCGGTCTTATGAAATTGTTGTTTGTCTATAACAACTAGTCGTAATTGAGAAATGTAGAAACGTTATGTTTCTCTCTTTTACTTCGGCTTAAATTTATTTAATAGGTTTTTTTTTTTTTCGTCAACTTGGTGTTTGTTGGGGGGCAAACCAAAAAAAAACCGGGTAACCAAAAATGTACTCCAAGTTACCCGATCAATTAATGAGTCATTGGGCGCAAAAGTACGGCAACGTGACACAGAATACGGTGACATTTAGATTAGGCACCACATGATTTACACAAGGGTCATTGACCGTAACATTTATCACATCCTAATTACGTCATCAATAATATACCGGAACTTTGCACGAATAATTTTACGGCAAAATTTAGGGCTTATAACAATAACATTCTGTTAATAGAAAAGAACCGATTTGTTCCTTTCCAAATTGCAAATGTTGGTATTGAAATATTTAGGTATAACCAACTTTGCTAGGCGACTTGGGAGACGATCGTCATTGTCATAAGACTAAATGAAGCAGGCTAAGATTACGTCGTGTTATCACTACATATATATAAAAAAGAGATAATAAATAGATAAACGTGCATACCATTCCATCCTGATTAATCAACCTGCATTTATACTTCAAAAATGGTCCGGTCAGAATAGATTTTCGCCTTCTGTAAAATCAGAAATGTTATGCCTTTTCATTATCCATACTTTTGGTTCTATGACAATTTGCACTAGCAATAAGGATTCCAAAAAATTTTTCACATGATTTAAATCAAAGTTTTGGAATGATTTAAGCCAATTTTGTATGATAGTACTTGGATTTTTCAATAGTATTCTTTCGTAGCCATATACGGTATCAATAATTTCGAAATAAGCTCCGTGAAAGTGAGGTGTAGAAGTTAAAAGATGTGTATATCCCACGTAATCAGTAGGCAATGAATGCGATTCGTTCTTATAATACATCCAGTCATGCCGCAGCTGACCAAATCTGGATGCACCAGTCATCGCAGTATACACATCAAGATGTATCCGTGCTAGACGATCAAACGCATTGACATATTTTGACTATTAGAAACCAAATATTATACCACTATACTCTAGTATAATAAAATCAAATATTATTCACCTTGGGAATAATCTCTCTGAATGACATGTATTTTTTGTAAGGCTACACCACCAGGATAATTATGACTAGAAATAATTACCATCATGGTACTTATTGAAAAACCAATTATAACAAGGATAGAGATCAATCGGTTTATAATTATGAACCGTGAGTATTTTTGCTTGCTAATTGTAAAGATATTAAAATATTATGCAATTAGCAAATATTGTAAATTGTTATATTATATAAATGAAATAACACAAAAGGTAAACTATTCGAAGCTCAAAATTAAGAATTAATAAAAACATACATTGTTATCCATCCGATCGCCGCGCACAAATTGAAAATCGGTACCACATAAATGATAAACCGCCATTCTTTATGACCAAGGAAAGAGAATCCACCTATGAAAGCAAGCATAGGTGTTAAGAGTCTACGCGTACGGAGATCAGAAAATACCGAAAATATGCATAACGGAAAAGACATCAACAATAGTCTTGGGAGAAATACAGTGAAATATGTATTAAAAGGTAGTACCTATTCATAATTCGATAGGAAAAAAAAAAAAAAAAAGAAACGATTAATAGAATCAGCTATTAAATCTTACAATATAATATATGTAGCAATGGTTGTTGTTCATTTTCCCGATGGTCATTTCACATAGGGTTAGGGTTAGCATTTTATTAGTTGTAGGTAAATAATTATTAGTAGATTATCACCTCGTGTGATGTCAGTAAATGGCCTGTCGAAGGAATGACTATCGGAAAAATTATACGTAACCTATGTAATACATACCCCCCATTCAACACTCTTTCCGAGAATGGCATTGAAATAAAAAACATTTCCTTCTGGCCACATAAGTCGAGTTTGCCAAAAGTAGCTATCGATAAAGCAAGAAATTCCTATAAAAATAATAACAAAATTATATGAATGGTACATGAAAATGATCGTTACAATTACATTTATAAATGTATTACCCAAACTTGTCGCTCCAGATATAATTCCAACCCATAATGTATCAAAAAAATTTAAAGTTCCAATCCACAATTCAAACAAAACAATAACAGCAAGTAGCACTCCTACTTCAAACCGAAATATTACCCCCGTATAAATCATATAACGTATCATTGGTAATAATTTCCGATTGGATTCAGAGGAATTAATCGCAGAAATCCAATAAGAATAAGAAAAAATTACTAAGTGAAAATAATGAAATATGAAGAAGAAAAAATAACAAAAAAATAATGAATAAAAATAATAATAAAAATAATAAAAATAAAAATAATAAAAATAATAATAATAAAAATAATAATAATAATAATAATAATAATAATAATAATAATAATAATAATAATAATAAATAATTATAATAATAAATAATTATAATAATAATAATAATGATAATAATGATAATTATAATAATAATAATTATAATAATTATAATAATAATTATAATAATAATAATAATAATGAAAATAATGAAAGATTTTAGAAATTTTAGTATAAAAGCATTTATATTTATAATATAAAGTAAATTTTATCCTTACCTAGCGGAAAAGCAAACATGTTAGGCAATGTCCTACTTGCCCAAAATATGGTATGAAATTGACAAACACTAAGAATACCAAAGGCGACAGAAACCCGATATCCAAAATATTTAGCAATAGATGATCGAAAATAAGATAGAGCAAAACTGGTAGATATACCAAGAAAGAAGCGTACTATGAATTTCAGTAATTCAATGAAACGCTGTTAAGACAAAATATCTATTCTAAATCTAATTTATTTTAAAGATATCAATTAAGTTTGCCTTATAGTTTTCTAATAACCTACCTATATATTGGCGGGTAAATTTACTAAGGTGAGGGATCAGCAACTCTAAAGTTTTGCTAGTTGGCCAACTAACTAAACTCAAAAGTAAAGGTCCAACGAAAGTGCGAGGAACAACTCCTGGAAACTCAAAGTGGTCATACTTTTTATTAAAAATCAACATTTTAGACCCGCGAGAAGTTCAAAGAAAGCAATATTTGCAACTGACTTTCTAGAGTTATCTGCTATGTACCTTTTTTAATGCTTCCAAAGATATTCCAAACTCCATAATATCATGTGAAGCTTGAAGGTTAAAACTTTCTTCAACTTTAGTAAAAGGACACAGCACTAGGTGAAATGTTACTAAACAGGCAAGAAGAAAGTCATATTTATCCATATCAGCTCTCACAATCTTCAAGCACCTCTTAGACAGTATAATACCAAAAATAAACCAAAAAATAAGAATAAATTCAATTATTTTATCTGATTTGAAGAAAGTGAATAGAAATTTTTTAAAAAACAAAAAAAATTAACGCCCAATTTGGGTTGGATGATTGCCATTTCTTTATAATAATCGGATCCGCATTTATACTGGGTTTTATTGGTAATTGAATATACGGGTGGCTTATGTCTGTAACAATTACGTACTGAGGCTTCGAGCATTGTACACGCTAGTGATTGGTATTAGTTATTGCTATGGTTTACCGTACGTGATACAATGCTTAGTCATGACTAGTAAATTCTCCTATTTACCGTGACTATTTCTTTCGATTAAACAAATATTTCTTTCACTTAACCCTGCCTATTATCACTCATTTTTTGGTATTTAATACGCTCTAGCACCGCAAAGATAAAAATTATTGCTGTTTGTTCATTAGGCGGTGTATGACTTTGGGTATTCGCCATCTCTATCACCACTACACCAAAAATTTCAGTACAAAACCTTGAATAATTGAATAACGATAACAGTTCCTTCTTAACAAGTATTTTCGACATAAAATATCTTTAATATTAGAAATAACATCGAAAAAGATCGGTTTGTGCACAAGTGTGACATTAATACAGTATTTCGTTAGAAAATATCTTTTTGACTTTTAAACGTACGTATATGTACGTAAGTAAAATATAACGGATACCAGTTAAGATTTTTATCATTCTATTTTTGATAAAATTTTCATATGATTTAAGCAATCTGGTCACGTGAAGTAAACCGGGCTTTTACAAAAAACTGTTTCTTTGTAACACTGTAATAAGCTCTGCAAAGTTACCTTCCAAAAATCAGTTTATAAAATTTAAAGTTTGTATGATGCTTGGATTTATCAATTTTCATACAGGTTTTTTTTTAAACAAACCAGTAATTTTATAGAATTCGGGGTTGCTTTAATAAATACCCAATTTGAGAATTTTTTTTTTTACAATAAAATAATAACGATAAACGATAATGCTTTATGATTTATTAATTACTAAAACCTTAACAACTATTTTTAACCAACTATGCTTTAGGCCACATGGAAAGCAACTTTACTTAGCGTTAGTGCACAAATTTGTGTTACAAAACCAGTCTTCTAAAAATGCATTACATATCGATATGTAAAAGAAGAATTAACTAATAAATCTCCTGTGCACTTTTCTGAAATTTTATTTTAAAAATATAATTTAAAACTACATATTTTAAATAATCAATTTATCAAATGAATAAATATGTATACGTATAAACATTTATACATAAAATTCACTATGATACAAAACTGTTACATCATAATAATTCTTCATAAGGGTATTCCCTCTAGGAAAGCTTCATTACCCTCTCTGGTAATAACTACTTGTACATTTCCTAAAATTCTACAAACAAATCCACCTTCACAATAAGCGAAATAAAATTCCCATTTCCGTTTAAATATTTCTATTTCATCGTTCTTCATTTCTGGCCAATTACGTATTAACGCAGGTCTAATATGTTCTTCAAAAACTTCTAGGAATTTCAAGCGCCAAAGTTTTAAAGTACGTGCATAATGAGGTCCAATGTTTTCTATATCATCAACTATAAGACGACCACGAGAACCCTTGTTAATTGCTTGAACTAAAGTTGTTACTGTAGGACAATGACCGCCTTTATAAATGTGAATGTTTTTAGTGTGTGTGATTAACAAATAAAATTCAATAAATTAATAATAGTGTACAAATAATCTACCTGGGAAAATATATTTTCTAATAAAGTCAACTTCTCTACAATATCTAGAGTATCTAGTCTCTGGCATTGTAATGACTTGAAATACACCAATACCACCCTGTTCTTTTAAAAATTTATCACAACATTCAAAATAAGTTGTTAAATACTCTGGTCCAACAGCTTCAATCATTTCTATACTTATAATTTTATCATATTGATGTGATGCAGGTAAATTACGATAATCACAAAGTAGTACTTCAATGTTTGATGATAAGCCAGCTTTTGCAATCCGTTCTTCGGCCAAGTTTTTTTGCTCAATTGAAAGAGTGAGAGTTGTTACTCGACAACCAGTTAATTTTACGGCCTAAATAATTATCATAAAAAGTAATAAATAATTAAAAAGAAAGGTATTAGTATATGAATCGAGTTGATGAACTACGCGTAAACGTTACATAGTTACATACTTCAATGGCCAAAGAACCCCACCCACTTCCAATCTCCAGTAAATGATCATCTTTGCAAATCTTTGCCTTCTTAATTATCATTCTTAATTTACGATATTGAGCATCCTCCAATGTATCATTCTCACTTTCAAAAACAGCACTCGAATAAGTCATATCACTGCTAAGAAAGCTAGCAAACATCTCATTTGAAATATCGTAATGAGCCGAAATATTATTTATTGCATTTGAAATCGTGTTTGCAAACCGTGAATTCATTACATAACTAATTGTGTTAAATATATAAGAAGGAACACTTGATAAATCGTCAAGGTGAGGACGGTTTGCTACAAAAATCTATAATAATAAAGGAATAATAAAGGAATAATAAATTATTAAGATTAACAGTTAAGAATAGTTTAGTCATTTATTGAAATATTTAAAGTTTGTTACCTTGATAAGTGTTGGTAAGTCATCACAAGTTACATCGCCAATCATGTATGCTTCGGCAAAACCCTATTAATCATTAAGAGAAACGAAAACAATGATCAGAATTCGTTTATAAAAATTTATACATTTAATTTAAAAGGGTGTGCATTCTTTTTTCGAAGCGTGTATCTGAGCAAATTAGGAAGCTATTTCCAATATAAACCGATTTTTTGGGACACCCACAAAAACGATCATACATCGCTTCCCGATATAGTCACATCCGTAATTATATTAATATCTTCCCGACTATATATGCTATAAATCACGTGAACAATTTTCAAAAATTATTTTCTTTGTGGACAATCGGTAGTGGTAATAGTAGTACATCATTGTTACAAGTTCAAATATACATGAATTTGTAATATATCTGACCGTTGAGTTATAATTGAAAGACTCACTAGATCACCCAGAAGTAGTAATCGCACCCAAAAAGAATCATTAATGATTTTGATATTGACTCGTAACGTTGAATCTTTAGGACCGAATTCGTAGATACAGTCGGGACTTAAAACGCGAAGATAACCATAGTCGATCTTAGACATCAAGGATAAGATAGTATTTTGTGCTGCATAATTGATAGTAATTTTGAAAGACAAAGATTGTCAGAAAATGACCGGAAAAAATTTTTTTATTTTTTATTTTTTTTTTAAAAAAAAGAACCGAATTAATAATAAGAATGATAAATACCAAAGTGAAGTAATGGCTCCCAAGACCTAGAAATAACTATCTCCTTCGCATATTGAAAATAAGAGTCAGCGGTAGCAACGACTTTACTTGTTCGGCTACTTATCGGCTTCTTTATGTTAGAAGACATGGAAAAATGGATAAGAGATATTGAATTAATGCAAAAAAAATTGATGGGGTTAGATATGTACGTTTTGAGGAATTCTGGATTTCATTTATACGTATAAGTTGCTTTTAAAATATAGTCGATTGTGACGAGAAATATAGAATGATTTTCATTTATGGAATGACAAATTAAAATCATGATAAGGAAAGGGTGCGCCATCTTCGGTGAGATAGCATTTATGTCAAGTTTGTTTCACATGTTGGTAATTGAAGTTGACAGAAATTATTCATTTTCACATAAAATAATTAGTGCAGGTCTAAACACACAGCTATTGGCACAATAATGTTTATTTTTGGTATAGCAAAAAGTTAAAACATCAAATATTATGTTTGATTTTTCGCATATAATGTATCAAAAAAAATTTTTTTTCTTATAGTCAGTGTTAAAGTAGGTCTATTAAAAGAGGAATGATCGTCCATTTATTATTTAATGCACACTATTATGTAATTGTTTCATTTTCTGATTTAGCAAGAAGTTTGGACCTAGATCCCCACGGATGGATATCGGAATTGTATATCTTGAGTAATGCGGAAACAAAAAAATATAGGGATTGTACAAAATTAATGAAGAAATCTAACACTAAAATTGGTGCACAATATATAGATGCCCACGTAAGTACGTACGTACGTACGTACGTTTCGTCTCCTAATATCCTCACACTAACATGATCCGTGTCGCATGTACGTATTAATCTCCGTATTGGGTTATCCAGCACTATGGTTACTATGTAATTTCGCCATAATATAATAAATAGCATTTTTGGGAAAGTGAGATTTTTAGTGTATGATCTAACCTTATAAAATACTCTTTTAATTAAATTTTTCTGTAACTTATTATTTGCTAAGCAAACGATATATTACCATATTCTTGTATACTATATTCATGAATTACTTGAATTATCAGGGTTTTACGTTTATTTCACTTTAGGTTTATATATATGTAGATCATTCATGATCAACTGATCATCACATTATTGTGAGCAATGGCACTTTTAAGTGGTCACAAATGTTAGAGCAAGAATCTATTAGAATATGAGACCAATAAGTACTTGTAATCAGCCAAAAAAAAGTAGGATTAAATTTTCTAAACAAAACAGTTTTTGCCAAAATTGACGGACTGAAGAGGACGAAATAAAATAAGGTGCATGTAAATCACTTTACACAATGGCTCTCGTTTAAATGGTTCATTAGATTTCTTCATTTAATTAAATTTCATTTAAATTTCAATGTTTGAAAAAGGATTATCGTGCTGAAATTTTGCACTATCTAATAATTTTAATGGAGAAAATTGTTTTCAGTTGACTGTTTTTTTACATACAATGTTATAAATGACTGAATTTTTTTTTTTCAAATGAGATTAAGATAAATCCCAGAGTGTATAAAGGAAATTAAAGGAAATTAGATATTAAAAATCATTTTAGACACCATAACCAAGGAAATCCGAATTCACATCTTGTCTTATAAAAATTTCAGAATATCTGCAAAATATTGATCCAATTCTCATGATAATTATCTCGCTATTGGCAACATATATACGAGACCCAATATTGTCATGTCATCAAGTTCACTCCGTGGATCCCTTATTCATCCTCCCATCTATTGATTCCGAATATCCGAACCTTATGCAATTGTGGTAATTTGGCTATAAGTACAACCAATAAAAATGTGAAATTAACCAAAAATGTGAACGCATCATAGTGTGTGTAATGTGTACTAAGTAGGAACCTGTGATAATGAAAAATTCGATGAAATTTATCCTTAATTGTATTGCTGTTAGTAGTCTCGACTTTATTAAGAAAATTCAAATATAATGTTGCTTACATACAATCCAATTGGAACGGCTGTTAAATATTTTTTAGCTGGTGTAAACTGCGCTCCATTATCGATCTGTTCCCATAAGGTCATACCATCGTAAGCTCCTGAATTAAAGTCGAATGGAACTCCTTTGACCCAATGGAACATTACAAAACTTCCCTAAATTAATCAAATAAATCGCAAGAGATGTATATATATATATATATATATATATATATATAAATAATATAATATATATATATATATATATAACAAATAAATAGTTTCTACTTAATTCCATCTCAATACATCCAATCATACTTCTTAGATATATATAATTTATTAGACTGAACTCACAAGCATGTAGGATAAATTAGTAAACGTCCAACTAGTCTCTGGAGATACCCAAGGAATTATGCTGGAAAGTATCTTAACACAAAGAATCAAAATGATATGAATAAACCACGCGCCTATAAAACATTTAAATTAAAATATTAATTAATGCGTAAAAGCGAACTTTTTTCTCCTAAATCAAGTAAAACCTTTATAATACACCCAATTCGAATTCAAATTCGGCAAGGCATACTGGTCAAGACTTTCGACATATGAGGACGGTTTTTCTGCAATAATAAAGCTCCTTGATCGACGTCTTCCCATAGCGAATACTAGTTTAATATAAATTTAAATATGCACAAACCGCAAAAGTTCATTAGAAAGTTATTAAGATAAGTAACTGCTATGAGCGTGAGTAACTAACATATAAACTTTAGTGCGACCGCCCCGTTAATCTTACCCAATAGCAATTATTGTTCGTACAGGGGTAAACGTATACACCACAATCAATATTTTGAGAATGTTTGTGTGTTTGACAAATATATAATAAAAAGCCGTCATGTGATTAATTTTGTTGAGTCCCATTGATGGCAGTGTTGTGTCAAGTGTCAAATGAAATAACTTATTCAGACATGAAATTCAATAGTAAATTTTAAATGACTCTAGAATGACTTAACAAAAGTCATTTCAGAAGGTGATTTGAGAACAAATTTTCTGTTGCATATATATGCAAACATCTCAATGAATTCGATAAAGAATCTGATTGATCAGACAGACCAATCAAATTCTTGTTCAGCCCCCTTTCTCTACCTGAGCTCAAAACATTGACGTTATACAACTTATCAACTTTGGACGGCCAATGTAATTGACCAAAAACTATTATTTGGTTTTTCCTTTATAAAGTATATCTATAATTTTGTGCAACTTATTTTCTATAAATTAGTGTTGTACATGAGATATAACATCGGATCAATATGGTGCAGGGCGTAATCTACCGAAATAACGCGCAGGGGTGTAGTTTCAATTTTCGGCCTAAATTAAGCTTAATTCGGGGCAAAATTCAAAATAACGCCCCTGCGCGTTATTTCGCGGTTATACGATTATATCGATATACCCGATCGGACCAATCAGAATGTGAGTTCGGAATAACGTGATCTGGGCCTACTTTATATAAAATGTAGTTAGATTTCTCTAAGTGCATACTTATTAAAATTTATACTAAAAATTTTTAATAAAAATTTTTAAAAGTTAATTTTTATTAATTTACAAATCCAATTTGGATTATTTAACTACCAAAAATAATTATATTAAGATGATTTTAAGGCTAGTTCAACTTGATTTTTTGTTTAATATATAGTAGTATAATTGCAAGACTTTACTAAACTTTAATTTAAATATATATTTGTATATACAGTCAGACCTTCTAAATGCACATCGTTAGGACCGGCTTCAAAGCGTGCATTTAGGGAGAGCTGCAATTAGAGAATAGCCAATAATATTGCAGAATATCTTCATCATATGATACATAATTACTGTATTAGTAAAATCGCATTTGACATTTTACAAGTTTTTTTTTATTGTACAGTACAGTTTTCCTTTGCAAGTTTTTTTTACAAGTTTATTTTTTATTTTTTTATAGTATTTATTTATTATAACCCTTACGACCTACATATTATTATAACCTTTACGATCTATGTATTGTCTATTCTAATCAAGCTATATTTTATAATCCTACCCAAAAAAAAGTTACTAATTTACTTGTTAGTCAATTAGGTCGATCTGAAAGAAGGTTTCAAGATTTATTTGTCTAAAAGACACATTTCGAACTTTTCTAATTGCCTTTTGCAAATTTAATAATGCTTGGTTATGTTTCAACCAGGCTATGTCATTTAGATCCTGCTGTATAAGATATTGTTTCAGCACCTCTACAGTATTTAGAGCTTCATAGTGGGTAATCAAAGAGATTTCTTTACTATCGTCATCATCTTCTTCACTATTGTTGTCTTCATTTAGATCTTTTTCAGGTTCTATATTAGTAATTAAAGTTAAAATTTTCTAATCATTCAAGACTTCATATGTATCTTCCTCCTCTGCATAATTAATGTAGACTTCAAAATCCATCGCATTTCGAAAATTAAATGCTTCAATATTTGCTTTTATTTCTTCCATTAACTCATTGTCATTTTTATTAATAGTAGGCTCTTTATTATTTTGAACTGGAAGGATCCCTATGTGCCGGAAGCAATTACATGCCTATAAATAAGCAAAACTATTTTTCAAAAATTAATATTTTAATAAATTACTTGTGTATCTTTATGAAATAATATCCCAGAGTATTATTTTGTAATGATATAGTATGTTATTTAATTCATTTTTCCATTATTAATTAATTCAACCTTTTATTTTTAAAGTTTACTATAACTTATCCTGCTTATGTACGTACTGTTTCTGATAACACCTCTTTCCATGCTTGAACAATAAACTTAATTGCATTAAGAACATTTAATTTATCATCATTTCCAGATTCATACTGATTAAGCAACTATTTTATAAAATGATTTTTGTAACGATACTTGAAAGACATAATAATACTAGCATCCAAAAGTTGTATATAAGATGTTGTGTTTGAAGGGAGGTATTGGATGTTTGTATTGTTAAGACTTAGATTATTGGAGGAATGGCACCTGGAATTATCCAGTAAATGAATTACTTTACGACCGGCTATTTTCAAGTCGAATTCTTTAAGCCACTGTTGAAACAACACAGTTGTCATCCATGCCTTGCTACTTGTCTCATATATAGCACTAAGTCTATTACATTTAATACATTTGAAATACCGTGGGTTGGGTGATTTATCTATTACAAAGGGCTTATATTTATCAGTTCCATCAGCATTAGCACAAAGTGCTACAGTTAACCATTTTTTATTTTATTTTTTTACTCTTTAGACAAGTAGTTGCTAGTGTGGTATCCAGCTCAAGACTAACGAATGAAAGAAAAAAAAGATGAATTAATAAGTATTGATTTGGGTAATACTAAGAGAAAATCAGACATTGATTATACTAATCGTCTGATTTACCTTTAGCATTACTTATTTATTGTTATATACCAATAAAATAGCCCTGTTTCGTCCATGTTATAAATATCTTTTAAGTTATATTCTTTTAGAACTTCTCTTAACTGAGAAATGGCTATTGCAACTACATTATCATCTACAGAAGAATCTTCTCTATGTTTTTTTATCTTTCCTAAATTATGTCTTTTTTTGAACTTAAATAACTATCCGTGTAAGAACTTAAGTTCACTATTAGATATTTTTAACATTTTAGCAAAAGTTTTTGCTTTTTTAATTAAAATTAAATCACTTATTATAATTTTATCTTGATATTGTAGAACTTATTCAAGTAATATATTTTTAAGATCTGGGTATTGGATTGTTTTTTGGCTTTTTTTTTACTAAACATCCAATAGTAGTCGAATGGACTTTAAGATTATATTTTTTTTTTACCCATGCAGCAAGATCAACATGGCTAATATTTGAGTTCTTATTTTTGAACTCAATAATTTCTTTTCTCTGTTTATTATTAAGAGAAGTTTTTCCAACTCGTTTTTTAGAAGACATACTGCTGTTGTAATAGCTCATAGGGGATAAGTTTTACTCAACAAAAATATGTTAGATAAATCTTTTTATAATCATCTTATTTAAACTTTTTTTTTGTTTAATTATAAGGCTTTAGTATTTGGAAAATTGGCATCCAGAATTTTACAATTCTATAATGTATAATTTTTTCACATCGAATTTTTTTTTTTTTTTTTGTTATGCATAAAAAATACCAAAAAAAAGAAAAAAAATTAGCATGTATATACTTATGTGTTGCAAAATTTTGGACATTCCTTATGATTTAAATTAGAACACTAAGATAAGTATTTTTTAAGATTATTATTGTAATGATGTTTTTACTCTTAAATTTTGTTGGGACAGGGGCAGTATAAAATTTTTAGATCCTGCTATGATTTGCACGAATCCAACTGTAATAATACAAAGCTAAATAAAAGTTTCGATTAAAAAATTTGATTTTGGCTAGATCTTTTGTTAAGAATCACTTGCATTTTTTTTTTATTTTTATTAGTTCTTTCAAAAAATTCTGCATACTGTATTTAATTATAAGTTTTACTTTTAATCGATTTTGTAATAACTGTTAAATAAAATAAATATTTAAGAGAATCTCCAACATTTGGTTAAATTACTTTTTCTTACTTCTTTCTTACAAATTTGGACTATAAAAATCAGGTATTGGTTCTTTTTATCATATACCAAAGTAGCTCTCTTATACAATATGTTAGTCAACTTTTACAGCATTAATAAATTACAAATTTGGAATATAAAAATCAGGTATTAGTTCTTATCGTCCTTTTCCCTTATATAGTATATTGGTACAGCTTTTTACAGCACTTTAATAACTAACAAATTTCAAATTTGGAACATAAAAATCAAGTATTGGTTCTTTTTATTATGACCAGAGTTACCTTTATCTTATATAGTACGTTGGTAAGCATTTTGCGGTACTTAATACTGTACAATAGATTTATTTTATTATTATTTTTTTTTAATATTGAGGTGACCACTTAGGCCCCTGGCACTTTATTAGTTCAAACAGGTGGGCCGTCCGAAGACTG